TACAATGCAATTTAAATTTCTTTCATCATGCTAAATATGGAATTTATTTATAAAATATTTTTTAATGAAATATATTTTTAAATACAAATTAATTTCTTTGAATTCATTTCCAAACAAATGGTAAGAATAATTTTATAACATATAGTATTTTTTTTTTTTTAACATGTATCCAATTTCATATTAATATGTAATTTTTTTTTCTTTTCTTATTAAGAGAAGATTATTAAATTATTTGCTTTACTAATTTGGGTTGATACGGATGAAAACTTTTAAAGATTTGATTAAAAAAAATTGGGGTTTACATACTTCTTAAGTATTCTGATTAAAAAAAACTCTTAAATGTACTTAATTAACTCGATAACATTTCTTGTAGTCAATATTAAAAAATTAGTATTAAAATTATAATTAATCTATTTTAACGGAGTAATTAAAATGAATATAATTTTGTTCTTATTTAAGTAGTTAAGCGTCTACATTTTTTTTTCGATAATTGTTAATTCACCAAAAATTAAATAAAAATAAAATAAATTTTTGCGAAAGTAAAAAAATGGAGGTCCTACCAATATGGAGGAGGCCCCACAAATTAACGAAAGAAATAATAAAAAAAGAAGTCAAAGAAAGAAGATAAAATGTGTAAAAAAAAAAAAAAAAAAAATTCAATGGTTGGTACCGCCTAATTACCAACCATTTGACAGAAGCTTTCGTTTTATCTCTCATTTTGTACTGGCTAATAAATTGCCATGGAACTTCAATGTTCTCACTACAACACAGAGTGAGACGTGTATAGAGTGATTTTGTAAAATACTAATTCAAGTCCCATATTCCTTTATAATACTACAATTTAGTTCCTCTTTTATACGAAATCATTTTCCATTCAGTCCAGCTTCTCCTTTCCCCAATTTCCCTACATGTATATAATCATCCTAAGTAAAAGCATAATCAGCTTGTGATAACATTATAAAGTAACTTTATATTCACTTCTCATCAACCATTTATATATGGTGTTTTAATCAACAAATGGTTAAATAGCAAAAAAAATGCGATTGCATCTTTGACAGAATTTTATTTATTCGATTAAGGTTTGAAATCAACCACTATTGAGAGGAATTTTTAACCGTAATACCATTCTGATCTAACCACGTGAAACACGTGTGTGAAAAAAGAAAAGTATTTAATATTTTTTTCATTTTCTAATTTAAATCTAGATTTAATTTTTAAAACTATCAAATTACATTTATACTGAATGAAAATGAGATATATAGTGGAAATAGAGATATAATTGGAATGAGAATAAAAATTCACTGTTATTGAGAGAACTTTATGTAATATTATCATAATCAGCGCATGAAAACACATGGGCATAAAAAGAAAGCATTAACTTTTTTAATGATCTATAGTTTAGAGCCTAAACTGATTTTTAAAAAAAGACATCAGTTATAGTCTAGTGGTAAGTGGTGTAATACGATCTCACAATAAATTTTAAGATCTTTGATCCCCATTTCTCAATACTCTAAAAAAAAAGAAAACTATTCAAACTACATTGGGTAGATGGAATGAAATGCGATAAAGAAAGACTGGAGATGGAAAATGCAATGAGAATAAAGAAGTCTGTCCCTTGTGTGCAATTGCAGGCATGGAATATGACATGTAATTTCTCTTTTTCAAGCAATATATTTTCATTTCTTGTTATTCTCTTATTACTCGTGTTGCATCCACCGATGCATATTTGGTCATATATGAAAGAACTATTTTTTGTCCTCAGCCCTCACTCCATCCATCTTTCTCAATTCCAAAACTAATTCTCTTTTTTTTTTAAAAAAAAAAAAAAAGAAAAAAAAAAAACTCAAATTTTTCGTTTAATACCTAATCTGCCCAACTCGCACCCTCCTCTAAATTTAAATTCCTTTCAAATCCTCAAGTTTTCAACACTAAATATGCTACAAACCCTAATCCCTCGACTCATTTAAAAGGGTAACTTGCTCAATGACAATGACAAGTTGGTTCTGGTTGTAATTTTTGTTAGGTTTCATATGATAATACGGGCGGGAAAAATACAGATTATAACAAAATATTATTCAATAGAGACTCTTATTTAAACGATTAAAAATAATAAAATTGTTTTAGAGAGAATACCTTTTTGTGCAAAGGTTTTCAAAATTTTTCGATCTACGTGGCTAGATTGTCACAACACAAGCCGTCGAAGTGTTTCCGGCCTGCTTAGTAGTATTCATATGAAATGGACAATTGAAAAACTCTAAAACTATTATAGAGGATGAGAGAGTAGAGAGTTATGATGGTACTAGCTAATTTTAGCTCTATGTTTAGTTTTATGTGTGCGTCTTTCGTCCCCTTTCCCCCCTGGACATGTAGCAAACTAAACTGTCTGTCTCAACACTGCTCTTTTTCACACACACTCTCACTCCTCACGCACAAACCATAGCTCAATAGAATAAATTAATGGTAATTATTGTCCTACCTTTTCAAATAAAAATTATAATTAATAATATTAAGATTTATTTAATTTCAAAATTTATTTTAATAAATTTTTAGAACTTATATCAATTAATTCACTACTTAAATAATTTAGCGCTCACAAATTGACACACACTCTCAACATAATAAATTTATCAATTTTTTCCTTAATATCACAAACTTTATTTGTAATCAAGTCATACTTGATTTGGCTTTTTATTTTTCACTTTCTCCACTATCCATTCTTATGTGTGTAATTTCTAGGTTCCAATTGTTGGCAATAAATATAACATATAAATTAATTAATTTAATATATATTTGCAGATCAACATATTATCTAGCAACATGTTCGACTACCAAAATATTTGAAAAGTCAAAGTGGTTTAAACTTAACTTTTTTAATGCACTTGATTTATTAGTTTAATTAATATCTCCTTTAATCATTAATTTTCTGATTTAGTATCATTAAACATAGACGTGTGTCTGATTTACTAAATCATTTAGCCTCTTAATCTTAGCCCTAATAATTTGAATGAAATTTCAAATTTAATTTGCTAATTTCATCTCTAACTTGCGCAAGGATTTCCTTAATCACCTACTAATAGCAGAACAATTAGAACCATTTTTCCTTGATTTATCTAGGGTGATGAATTCTCTTTAATTAACACAAGTAATCTATAAATCTTAACTATGTCCAATAAATCATTACGTTATTATTCATTAGTGAATAAATGTGAACGACAAGATAACAAATAGTCATCCCCAATACGAGATAGCTTAATCAATTTAAACGTAAGAATTTTTACACCATCACTCTTGGAGTTTCTATAGACAAAATGGTTAACTTTTCAATTTATGGAATTCTCGATGCAGGTACAATCTCAGTGGACCTTGTTTAAATAATAAGCATCTACCAATATTAGTTTTTCTAGCCATATCACATATATTCAGCTTTATGAGAAGGACTGCTTCTTTAAGGAAAGAACATATATCGCCACTTCTGTCTTATAACAATTCTAATCATGCGTCTAATATCCGACGGAGACAGATCAGAAATCATTTAGAGACCATTGCTTTAATGCAAAAAAAAAAAAAAAAAAAAAAAAAAAAATCATAATTTAACACATTATAACTTACTTAGGAATATATAATGAGTCGTGCATAGAGTTTATCTTTTATCAAAATTCATCAATACGACATATAAAAAATACAATAAATAATTTTTATTAATACTAAAATATTTTATTATTCTGACAATCATTCATATCCACATATAACTATACTCCTACGCGCTATTCACGGCTATATACTAACAAATTTTTATTAAAAAGAATCCAAAAATATAAAAAACAACTGGTCCAATTAAAAAACGAGGCAATCGTTTCTTGACAAGGGAAGGGCTGTCTATCAATGCCAATAACAAGAAGGAATATGCGCGGTAATTCACATTAAAACACGACAATTCATATATATATATATTTTCTATTTGATGTAGTTTTTTTAGGAAAATACAATTGAGGATAAAAACTGTAGAACATGTCATAATAAATCACAAACACAACTAATTTCCCTTAATATAAAAGACTTAAAATCATATATTACTATATATATATATTATATTATATATATATATATATATGAATATTACTGTATGTTAGGTTGGTCTTTTCCAACAACTTTCAATTAATGCGGATGGTATCATTTTCATCACATATTTGACAGACCAGGATATGAACATTCATCCATGTACTTTTCCCAATCAATTGTTGTTTGGATCAAATTAATCCATTTGCCTTCGGTCGCCATCGTCCTGATCTCTCGCTGCTATTCTTCAACTTCTCTGAGTTGGTATCATCAAAAGCTATAAAATTAAAAATAATTAGGAACAATATTATATATATTCATGTCCATTTATAATTAATTAACGATTAAATAAAAACGGTTTAATGAATTTTTTTATGTTGTCAAGAAAAAGTTCCTTTTAAGGAAAAAAATTCTGGAACTTTAGTTTTTTTTTTTTATGAAAACTTTAATTATAAAATTTTCTTAAATTTGGGATAATTAATGAAATTACTTTTAAATTTTTAATAATTATTTTCAATTAATACAATCCAGTAAAATGAAGTCTATAATTTTAATTATTTCACGTGCCAATCAAAATGAATAATAATATAAATAATAATAATAAATAATAATAATAATAAACTATACGAAGACAATTTTTTATAATAAACTAATTTTTAGCTCAAATTGATACCTAATTTTTCATTACAAATACGAAACCATAACTAATAAGAAAATATAATAATTAAATTTTAAGATAAGCGCAAAAACACTTATACATTAAAATCCCTTTTTTTTTCAATAATTTAGGAAATATGAAAAAACAACCAATATAAGTGATAAAGTCAATATAAAATTAAATTTAGATTAAATGTAAATAACTCTAAAAAACACATAATATGTAATAAAGTGTACGTACCATGCCCTGGAAGAATAACGTAAGGTTATAAGGTCACCAGTCGCAATTACTTTAAGTTATCTTCCGATTCAGAGAAATGCATACGTGTCCTCATATTTCCTTGAACACCATAGTATTTGCCAATTTCAACGCCTAATAATGACTTATATTTTATAAAACTATAAATTATAAGACAAAGACATGTCCAATATGGTAAACGAATTAGGTAATTAAGATGCACCTGTAGTGGGAGTTGGAAACGGATCAGCCATGTACATACGGAAGCGGGCCATGGAGCGTTAAATGGTGCCTCTTTGAATTTTGACTGTGATCCACTTTACTATCCTGGATTTGCAGAGAAGATAATGGAACAAGTAAAGATCATGAAATATTTGATAATTTCAACTGGATTTCTCAGTGAAGATCCTAAATGATAAATTATTCTGAAAGATTGCCTTTGCACGCGCCGCCATTGCTACAATTACATTTACCAATCATGTCGACCTGGTATCCTGCAATTTGCATTTTTTTTTTTTGGAAAAAATCAGAATTAAAAAATTAAAATAGGTAAGATAAATTTAGTTGGAAGGAGACAAAAGAATTTAATTAGGCTCCACCAACTGTCAAGAGTTGATTGAGGATCTGAAATAAAGCTGTTAACTTTTCCTTTCGCGTACCCCGCCAATTACCACTATCAATAAGTTCTGTGGTTCAAACGCATTTTATTACAATATCTTCTAATACATATAAAAATGGGCACAGCTTAAACTCATTCTTCAAAAAGCTAACTCAAAGAACGATTGTCCAAATTTTATATTTTGCATAGCATCTTATCACTAATCAAGGTAGGATAACACACTCCTTTCACACCCACGCATGAACGTTTGGAAGTATGATAGTTTTGCAAAGCAAACATACCTCGAAGTAAGGGATGCTCCTGATACTATATCATAAAATAATAAACGAAGACTAACTCACTCTTTAAAAATTAACGTCAAGAAATGAGAATTTCCGAGTCTTAATATTTTTAAATAATGAAAATTTAAATAACCAACAAGATAACAGTATGTAATAATACACAAACATACCTCACCTTGATCCAACCAGGAAATGGTTCTTCATAAGTACTTGTTATCATGGGGTAGGACGTATTTAATAAGTAGAGGCAACTATTTTTTTTTTGAAATGCATTAGAAAGCATTTCTCCTATTGGCTTTGTAAATACCGATGTGTTTTGGCCATCCAAATGCCCTTGCCCTATTCATTCATAAATGGTTCTTAACAACATAAAAATAAAAGTTAATTAAACTCTGTAATTCAAGTTCAAAGTATTTCAGACCTTACCTTTCAATGCCAAAAATCCTCATGAATGCTGTAATTTCCTTTCTCAAAGCATTTTCCCTGAATATGAAGTTCATTTAGTTTTTTCTTCCCAAAAGTTTCTTTTCCATTTCAATGTCTATTTCACTTGTCCCTTGGGTACCTACCCATTGTAAATGGCTTCTCTAGTATAATTCCACTATTTCTCCAAATACATAAGCTGAGGAACAAAAGAAAAAAAAAAACATTTATATATAGTAATTAAGAGAACCGAAAAAAAAAAATCAAAGATTAAAGATTTTGGACTCACCGGTCGAGACCATGACAAGCATCTTAGCTTTTAAGCATTTCCTTAGCAAGTTCAATAACATGTAGAGCCCCCAATGTATTTAATGCCTACTTGCAAATATCAAATCCCTTCATAATTCCAGATCCACAGAGGAGAAGATGAAGAGGAAGAAAGAATTAGTTCCATGTATAAAAAAATTTTATTTGAATAATATGAAACAAAACTTTTTGAAAAATAGAAGAATAACTTTATTTAGTAATTGATTACCTTTCATCAAGGTTGGTCGTGGCAGCAAAATTAATCACTAAATCAATTTCTTTAAACATCTCATCCTTAAGTAGGAGTCTTGACTCCTAAAATCTTTTCACAAGAGAATGTCCCAGCAAACAGGAATTAACTTCTCTGATAAAAGGAATTTTAGGTTTGCACCGTATTTCTCCCTTAGAATTTGAATAAAATCCTTCCCTAACACCTTAATAGTCAATAACGTATATATCAGTAAAATTATACCTTTATAAAAAATATTATTAATGATAAATTAGAATGTCTCAGTTCCCAACCGTCATTTCTAACAGTAGATGCATTATAAAGATTAGAGCATTCATAAAAAAAGAAATCGTACTAACAATAATATAAACCTCGTCATTGAAAACGTTCATTAGCTGAGTTAGCATCAGAAGCTCTTAGAAAGAAGATAAAAACTTCTTAACTTTTGGTTGAACTCTTAAATATCTTCTCCAACAAAAACTACATCAAATAAAATAAATTATTGTTAAACCACTAAATAATAAAGATATTATAATATATGACTTTTTTGCTAGAGGGAGAGAGAGAGAGAGAGTTAAATGTATATACTTTTTGCTAGGTAGCCAGTTGCACCGGTAACCAAAATGGTCTTGTTCTCAAATTGAATCAAGTACACTTCTAACTCCATTAAGCCTACAGAAAAAATTGAATCTCTATCTAATATCCCTTTCGTGTATATTTTGAAATGAGAGTACCGTTCCCATATATATAATAATCAGACTGCGCAAATGACAAGTACTAAAGAGTAATATCATAGGCCGTGGACTGCTCACCAACCAACTTCTTATGGCTCTCAGAAATCAATATAATATTCTAAAGCAATAAATATTATTGCTACTATAATGGGAAAAATGAATGTCACTATATTTATTAATTTTAGAATTCTTCCTAACGTGCATATCTATTAATTGGCTAAAAATTGTAAACTCAGAGCTACACATAATTATACCCAAAAGAGTCGGTTGGTGAATTTAAAATTGTACTAGCCCAACGGTAATTCGACTGTTGGGTTAACTTACCCCATTTTATTGTTTTTAAACAAAAATGATAATATTAATCTTTTTATAAAAATTTAAAAAAATAATTAAATATATTGACTATTTAAAATAGATTAAAATATAATGTTTAAATTGTCTCTTATTAAAAAAATTAAAAGCTCTTCAATGTTATTTTACTTAACAAAACACTTAATATATATAAAGTAAAATTGGTTATAAATATTAATATACTTTCAAAATTCTAAATAAAAACTAAAAAAAAAAAACAGATAAAATGTCTATTTATTAATATTAAAGTGAAAAGAAGCATTCCTTGTTTGAAGATTATGGCCATAAAATTTAGTCTATATTTATTAATGAGCCAGCATTACCTTGTGCAATCCCTCCACACCATTTCAAATTCAAAGTATAAAAACATAATTATTAATCTAAATGATGCCTATAAATGAAGGGAGTACTTTCGTAAAGGTTGGGACTTTTCCGCTCCAAACAATTATTGGACAACAAGTTTTTTAAGTAATTTTTAAAATTTGATTTTTTATAGTATTCGATAATATAGATTTTGAACAATTTTTAAAGTTAAAATAATATTTATAAAAAAGTTAATACATTTTCAAATTAGCTTTTATATTTTATAAAAGCTATACTTAAACGGTTCAATACTATTAAAACAACTAATAACAGTCAAAATAATTAATTTTATACTAACAGATTCTAAATACTTTTACTTCAAGTGCTTTACTCCTTCGGTGAATTAAATTCAGTATAAGAAAATTTTTAGCTCTAATTTTAAATGGTAAAATTGCTTTAAAATGGATTATTTACTCATGAATTTCTTGAAAATTCAAAGTCCTTAATCTCAATTTAAAAAAAAAAAAAAAAAAAGAAGAAAGAAAAGCAAAAACGGACCATCTGAACGTACCCTCGGTATCATAAATGCTTAAATGATGTTTGAAATTTTCAAAACTACCACCGAGAAGCATTAATTTAGGGAAGAGATTGATGGCAGACACATAACTTGATCACCTAAGAATGGCTACCGTTAACCGATGGTTGGTCAGCAAATAGCTATAGTCCCCATTGGATATACAATAAAAATTAATGCTGAAAATATATATATTTTTTTAAAATTGTAAAACTCAAGTCATTGTCTCTATTATTTATACTCCCCGTTTCAAAAATATATACTTTTTTTAAAAATAATATTAAGAAAATAAAAATTATTATGGTTAGTGGAAATTTATCATTAGTATAAACTTTTTCTTTTTTCAATAGTTCTTTTTTATGTTTGGTTTTGAAAAAATATCTTGTCCATTAGCGTTATCACCATTAGGCATGGCCCCCGGTTTCGGTTTTAACCGGGAACGACCGAAACCGAAAACCGTAACTGTAGAACGGACCGAAACCGGACCGAAACCGGGCGGTTTAAAAATTTTGAACCGAAACCGGCGGTTCAAGGGCCGGTTTGCCGGTTAAGGTTCATGTGAATGTTAAAAAATGAACCTGAACCGGCCCGAAACCGGCGGTTAACCGGCGGTTTCGGTCCGGTTCGAACCAGATTCACAAATAAAATTATTTGATGTAATAATACTTAATTTATAAAAAGTAGTGAAAAAAACATCATCATTAAACTTTTTATAAAACATCATCATTTATAAAAAAACATCGTCATTGAACCTTTTATAAAATATTATCATTTATGAAAAAATATCTTCACTAGCCGTTGAACCTTTTGTTTTACACAATTTTTTTCAAGGTTCAAACGGCTAGCAGGTGTCATTGTCAATAACATTTAATTTTTTTAGTTTTGGGGTAAATAAATTTTATTTATGTTATTAAATTTACTAAATTATTCAAAAAATATAATTGGTTTTTTTCTGTTATAAAGGACAATTTGGAAAACTACATATAAGAAAAATATGATATAATATGAGAGTTTGATTATTTTTTTCCACGAACCAATTATACCTAATCTTCCTCTCTTAATATTGCTTTATTTTCATAAATCCCATTCTAAATTCCTTAATTTCCCATAGCTCCATTTAATTCAATGTTTTTTCATAATCCATTTAAAATATGGCACACAAATCAACAAAGCTCCAAGCGGAAAAGCATTTGCTCCAAAGCAAAGAATATTATTGAAATTCAATGACGAATCCCATGTGATTGATTTTTTCCACCACAAGAAAGCAAATGTTATCCTAATATTTCAATAGTAAAAACGGTAAAACCACGCAAAATCAGATATTTTTAAGAGCACTTTGCAAAATGTTCAAGATAATAGAAGAAATCAATGGCGGTTCGATGTAAATCTAATTGTAAATAAAGAATAATGCGATGATGAATGATTCCGCTTCTCAATAAGTGAAATGTAAGAGTGTGTGACGATGGACTAGAACGTGACGTGAGAACTCAAAGACCCAGCAAAAATTCAAAGGCGATGAGATGATTTCCGACAATTAAACGGGACTCAGTGGCGCCCGATTGAACTAAAATTAAATTGTAAAATTGGCGAGGTTATTTTTCCGCAATGAAATAAAAAAAAAAAGAACTTAACAGTGAGCTTGAATTTCTATGTAATTTTCAAGAGGATAACGTAGGCAATCCTATATAAGCTTTGTCATCTTAAAATTCAGCGCCCTAAAAAAAAAAAATAATTGTTCTATATTATGAGTTAGATTGTAAATTTTAAATGTAGATAAATTTCTAAAGTTTAATAGAAGTTTTTGTTTTAAAATTTATAATAATTATTTAGTTAAATAAAATTTTAAACATTTTAAAAAAAACTATTATTTATCAAATTCGAAATCAAAATTTTATTATTTTATTTTTATTTGTGAATGTTGGACACGATCGGAAAACCGTAATTTTGAACCGTCGGTTCGCCGGAAAACGTGCTGAACCGTGGCCGAACCGTAACCCGGAGGTTTCAAGGGTCGGTTCCGTTTCCGGTTCAAAATTTTAAACATCTCGAACCGGCGGTTCAATGAACCGAAACCGGCGGTTCATTGAACCGGCCATGCCTATCACCATCAATTACACCATCACTGTCACCACCACCATTCAATAAACTATGACTATGTTGTGGGGTTAAAAATTTTTTATGCTTTAAAATTTATTTGTTAGTATAACCTTTATATTATACATATCTTAAATAATACATGAGCAATTATTATATTGAAATAATAAAAATCATATTGATAATATGTAATGAGAAATATATATTGAAATTAATCGGAGTGCCTTATAGATTATTTAATAATCTATATGTGGCCTATGTAATTAAAGGGCTGGTTCTATTTAAGGTGTCCCAAGATGATGGTTATTGGGCTTAATAGATAAGGACCAGTTAGGGTTTTAATACTCTTCCTCTGCCTTATAAAAGATAAAGGAATGAACAGCTTAGGGTTAAAGAAATAAAAGAGAGAGTGTGATAGCTACCTCAAATACGTACGGTGATAGATTGTTTGAGAGAGCGTGAAAAGAAACTCCCGTAACTGTTGATAATTCTCCGACCATTAATAAAAAACTTACGGACAAAAGGTCAGAGCGAAGAAACACAGATTTGCTGTTACGGTGAAAATCGAATTGCCGCAACGAGGTAATCCATAACATAGATCTGCTGTTATGGATCAAGGGATGCTTCCGCTTATTGTATATTCCTATCGAACAAATTCTATGAATAATAGATCTAGGCTATATATTAAAGTTGTTTTAACATGTGATATCAGAGCTTGTACCTGTTCTAGATTTGTTTGATAGTGTTTTGTTTGGCTTAATTAATGAAAAATAATTTCATATTGTGAAGTTGATTAATTTGGTATAAACGAAGCCAAAATTATAGAAATTGAAAACTGTTTGTTTTCTTTATGCTTTATAGCCAAAATTATAGAAATTGAAAACTGTTTGTTTTCTTTATGCTTTATAAATTATTTTGCTATTATTTATAAAGAAAGGTTACGACATCTTATTGTGTTATATCATTAAAAGTTTTGAGATCTTAATTCAATCTCATAAAAGTTTTGCATAAATCAATTTAGAACAAGGTTAGTGTCCTCACATCGATGCATCATTAAAGAGAGGTTATAGAGACACGATTCAAAAGAAGAACCGAACACAGAAAAATCATCCATAAATATTTCAATGAATTTTTCAATCATGTCAGAAAAAATGGACATCATACACCTCTAAAACGTTGCAGGAGCATTGCACAACCCAAAAGGCATTCTCCTGTACGCGAAAGTACCGTAAGGACAATTGAAAGTGGTTTTCTCTTGATCCTCCGGAGCAATAGGTATCTGGAAATACCTTGAATAACCATCTAGAAAACAATAGTAAGGATAGCCTGCAAGTCTTTCAAGCATTTGATCAATAAAAAGTTAGGGGGAAATGATCCTTGCGTGTTGCTTTGTTCAATTTCCTGTAATCAATACACACACGCCAACCTGTGACAGTTCTAGTTTGGAATTCACTCATTATTTTCGTTGGAAATGACTGTCATACCTCCTTTCTTTGGGACCACTTGGACATGACTTACCCAACTACTATCTGAAATTGAATAAATGATGCCTGCATCTAATAGTTTTATGATCTCTGCTTTGAACACTTCCGTCATGTTTGGGTTCATGTTTGGGTTCAATCTTCTTTGATGCTCAATTGAAGGTTTGTAGTCTTCCTCCATCAGGATCTTGTGCATACATATACTTGGACTTATCCCCTGCAATTCAGAAATTGACCATCCTAAAGCTTTCCTATGTTTCCGTAGAACTGCAACAGCCTTTCCTCTTGATCAAGTGTTAAGTGAGAAGAAATAATAACAGGAAAAGAACCATTGTTGCATAAGAATGCATGCTTCAAATGAGATGGAAGCTGTTTTAGTTCTTGCTTTGGTGGTTCACTTGCTTTTTCATTTATGATGCTTAGACTAATGTTATTATCATCTTTAACATGTAGTTTGTTCTTATACATTCATCAATAACATCAATCCTAAAACAATCATCATAGTCCATAGGAAGTTTACATGATTTCAAAAAATCAAAGACAACCTCCTCTTGACCTACCCTCAAAGTTAATTTTCCTTCGTGCAAATTTTCCTTCGTGCACATCAATCAACGCTCTTGCAGTTGCGAGAAAGGGTCTTCCAAGGATTAAGGATCCTTCCCTACCTTCATCAATGTCAAGAATCACAAAATCGACAGGAAAAATAAAATTTCCTATTTTGACAAGTACGTCTTCTACAATCCCTTTCGAATATTTGATTGAACGATCCGCCCATTGTAGAGACATCCTAGTTGTTTTTAGCTCTCCCATCCCTAGCATCTTAAAAGCTTCATAAGACATAAGATTAATGCTATCTCCTAAATCTGCTAAAGCTTTTTCAAAATTAAGATTGCCAATATTACAAGGGATAGAAAAACTTCTTGGATCATTTAGTTTAGGAGGCAATTTATATAATTGCACGCACTCGCTCCTCAGCATTACCATCCTGATCATCGATCTTTCTTTTCTTCTCAGAAATTCCCTTTCAAAATTTGCGATGACTGGGCACTGAGCCAAGAGCTAGCAGCAAGGTACTGCTTATATTTGAAAGCATTTTTGAAGAACGTCAAGAAATCTTGAGGAAACTCTTATCGTCTTCGCGTTTTCCTTTCATCTTTGTGAAAGAGGAAGGTGGAACATAAGGTTTTCAGGTTCTCTTTCTTCTTCTAGATCAATGAGGGTAAATCTTTCGCTGCTCTTCTTTTTCTCTCCTCATCCGGCGTATCTTCATACTGTTTGCCACTCCTTAAGGTGATGAATTTTGTGTGAACCCCTCCCCCCCGGAAATTATAACGCATTGGTGGCAATATGACTAATGGGCAAAGAATGCAACGTGAAAGTGGTAGTCGCGCACTTGTTAATTATTTTTAGGGTTAACCTAGGAAAAAACCCTAAGTTGACTTCCATTTTAATTAGCCCTTAGTTACTAGAATTAAATTAATCCGAATGTAAGGCACAAATCGAGAATCGAAACCCGAGGTGGATTCCCTGAGACATGTCAATGCTGATGGAACTAACTCAAGTGAATGAATGCTTTGCAAAGGGTAATTGGTACGCAATGAAAAGTGTGTAAAGTGATTTCGACTTGCCTGCTCGGGGTTAAATCCCCGAACGTGCTACTGTACTTCCGTTTTGCAATGGAAATCAAAGTCAATCGTAGTTCGATAGCTTTTAAAGGGCTTTGAATGGGTATGCCTTAATGCAATGAGTGGGTGTGTATGCCCTTCGTGCGATTTTGTTAGCATTTCTGCCAAAGAATTTATGATTTGAAATTAGGTACTAGCTCTGACGCAACCCTAGACGACCGGGTGTGAACCCCTCCCAAAGTCATAAGCAATGTGATGCATATGATGAGATGAAGGAAGAATACGACGTGAGTGTGTGAGTCGCACCTGTTGTTTAATTATTTTCAGGGGTAACTAGGAAAAAAAACCCATGTTACTCCAAATTTTAATAACGCTAGTTCTAATTAATTAATTCCAATGTTTAAGGCATCTGCGAACCCGAAGATGGAATCCCGAGACTATGTCTATGGCTGATGAACTAATAAGCCCGATGAATGAAAGGCTTTGCAAGGTAATAGTGAGGATTAATGGGAAGTTTGAGTGAATTTTGACTTGCCACCGGGTAAATCCCGGAAACGTTCCCTACGTACTCTCCGGTTTGAATGGAAGATTCAAAGGTCCAACGTAGGTTCAGGTAGGCCCTCTGTTTAGAGGGCTTTGAATCGATTAATGCCCTAATGCATGGGTGTGTGTATGCTGTAGTTGTCATGGATTTTGGTCTATGCTTTGTGGCAATTTTTGTGTGTATGGCTGTTTGGTGGCATTGATTTTGTTGTATGCTTTTGTGCATTTTTTGTGTAATGCTTTAAAAAAATGCAATGATTTGTGTATGCTTTGGGTGCATTTTTTTTGTGTTAATGGCTTTAATGCAGATTGTGTTATCTTCGGCATTTTTTGTTTAGGCAATTTACGCCAAAGATTGATTGATTTTTAGGCATGTGCCAAAATGGTTGATTTTAATGGCTTTTGCCAAAATGATTTTGTTTAGGCAATAGTTGCCGAAAATGTGCGAATTTAGGCGATTGTCGCTCAAATGTTTGATTTTAGGCCTTTTGGGCCCGAAATGTTGTTGTTTTTAAGGCATTTAATAGACCACAATTGTTCCGATTTTAAGCGATTTGTCGTCTAAAATGGTTTTGAATTTAGGCTTTGCCGAAAAGGTTCATTTTAAAGGCATTTTACCAAAAATGTCGATTTTTAACGGCTTGAGCCGAAAATATGGTGTGATTTTTAAAAGGGCAATTTTGCCAAAAGATTGATTTAAGCGATGTGCTAAAAATGGTTGATTTTAGGCCCTTTGCCAAAGGTGTTTTTGTTGTTTAGGCCATTAGTTGCCATAAATGTGCGATTTAAGTGCTTCAATGCCGACTGATTATCAATAATCTGGGCGTTTCGAGCCTTAATCACAATAATTGTCGAAACGTGGATTGATTAAGGGCTTTTAAGCCACAATTATTAATAAAATTGGAGCTTAAAGCCGGATCGTTCGAAGATAAGGCAATTGAACCGTAGTTTATTAATACTAGGCTCTTTTAGCCAATATTGTTCGGATTTAAACTTTAATACCACGATTAATTGATTAACCAGTCATTTAAGCTTATATCAATTAATTAAGGCAGTTTATTTTACCAAAAAATAAATGACGTGATGCCTTTATTGCAATTTTAGAGATTCATTAAGAGTAGAAGAGAATATGCAGTGAAAGTGCTAATAATTAAAATAGGCAGAGTTTTGTTTACATACCTGATTAAATGACGACCGCTTCTTAACTCCGGATTTAAGCTCCTTGCTTAGGAAATAAGTAATTAATTTTTAATATGTTTAATTTATGTCCAAATATCACAATAAAATGCAATAAAAATAAGTTAAATGCAAAAAGTCGGTAAATGAAAAACGCAAGGAGCGTGAGAGGAGAGAAGATTCGTCCGTCAACAACGACCGGGTGCCAAAATTTGGAACTGAAAATGGGCCTATTTTATAGCCCATTTGGGCATGGGCGGCAGGTTGCCTGCCTGGCTGGGCGGTAACATTGCCGCCAAGAGGTGGTGTCGCAGGTGCCGCCTGCTCGGCGGCAAGGTGCCGCCCTGTCGGTGGGCGCCAGCCCCGCCCTTACGCTGGGCGGGGTGCGCCTGGGAGGCGCAGCTGCCGCCCAGATCGTGGCGCAGGCCCCGCCTGGTCTGGGGCGGCAGGTGGCGCCCAGGGGCGTGGGGGGGCCAGGCCCCCGCCTGCCCGCGGGCCGATCAGGCCCCGCGCCCGCGTTGGTCCGACCCTTCGCCCCGGCGGGGTTCAACAAGGCCCCGGCGTGCTGGTTCGGCCTGGCCTCGCTTGCCGCGCGCGGCGGCCCCGCCGCGCGGCGACAGGGCTCGCCCGCGCGAGCCTGGTCGGGCAGCCCGCCCGCGCGGGGCGAGAGGCCCCGCGCCGCGCTGGGCGGCAGCCTCTGCCCCGGCTGGCGGCAAGCCTCTGCCCGAGCGGGGCGACATGGCCTTGCCCAGGAAAGCGGGGCGGCAGGTGCCGCCCAGGCTGGCGCTGCTTGCCGAACTGGTCGGGCCGGTGTGGACTACCTGCGCCGTCGCTCCGGGGCCTTTTTGGGAGTTGCTTGGAACCTCCAAGGAATATTCGGGACCTGTTTCCCGCGATCCTCGCGATATTCCGTGACGTTTTAAGTACCATATCTGACATATTGTTCGGTGAACTTCCGCATAGCCGCCGTCCGGCCCGGACTGTTGCATTCGGAAACAAGGCTTCTGAGCCTCAAATTTGGGTATTCACAGTTGGCCCCCCCGCACTGGCTATCATAAAATGATTTATGAGAGCCAGTGGCCGTCTGGGAGCAAATTTTGAAAGGCGAGAACTCGACCTTGGGCCAAATTGGGAATTGTGTGGACCTGTGGTCTGCAGTTTGTTAAATTTTTCGGAGCTCCTAGGCCGAGTTTGAAATTTTCGGGCCTTAAGGCCGAATTGTGATTTTTCAAGCCCTGAGGCCGATTGTTGATTTTCGGGCCTCTGTGGCCTGTAATGTGAATTTTTTCGGGCCTCTGTGGTCCTGAATGTGAATTTCTGGGCCTCTGGGCCTGAAATGTGATCTTTTTCGGGCCTACTGGGGCGCCTGAATTGGTGAATTTTTGTGGGCGCCGTTCTGTACAATTATTCGCGCTGCTGTAGCCGCCGTTATTCGGTGCCATTCGGCGGCTTGTGCCCGCCATCATTTCGGCGGCTGCTGCCGCCCTTTTCGGTGCATTTCTCCTATAAACTTGTCTTGTTGTTGGTTTGCTCTTCAAACTCTCTCTCTTTCTTCCTCTTCTCCTTTTTTCTTCGTTGCTTTTAAAGAATTGAAATCTTCTTTCAATCACAGCATGCCAGCCTGGACTAGGAGTCTCTCCAAAGTTGAAAAGATCAATTTTGGGGGGAAGGTATGGCTTTCTCCTATCGTAACTTTCTCAGGGGGTAAGTATCGACTGAAATTTTTTATGGGCCTGCCACCGGCTTTGGGAGTTCAGAGGTCCATGTTTTCCTGTTCGGAGCTCTAATGATGGAGGAGATGTGTCCTCTTTTTTGAGGAATTTGTGTGCTATCATTGGGTGCGATCCCATGCCCCAGTTGGTCCAGGGCACGAAGTCAAGATGGTGTTAAAATGTTCGTCGTTGAAAATCTGTTTTCAGTTCAGTCGACCTCTAAGCTATAGGGGCTATGATTGTTTGGTGATTCAGAAAGAATTGCTTGCTGCC